TTTGGCGTTTGGCTACAAGGAGTTCGTTCTAAGGAATAAGGAGCCACCCTCATTCCAACCCCGAACCTGGAGGACCAGGAGGCTGAGTTTGTTTGGTCTCTAACCATTGACCAATCTGGCGTCAGTGGCTCTGAAGGTGCGAAAAAGCACCACCCAGCATAGCTCAATGGATCTCTGAGGCAGGCAAACCATCGCACCATGGTAAGGTCCAGTCACATTGCGATGGCACCGACCAACTACAGTATAGAGGTGAATCTAATCTAAATAGGGATTCATTTGACTAGGGGAATGTAAGGAATTCACTAAGTCGAGTATCCATGGGATCAAATGATCTAGTCAGCCTTAATAGAGATCCATTAAATCAAACTAGAAAAGACAAGCTTTCCTTAACCGAATGTCTGTAAATTAATGCTCCAAACACTTTCAGTTGAAAAACAGTTGGTTCCAATAATAGTGTGTGCGGAAAGGCCGCAAGCCGTTTCTGTTAGCTAATCTAAGCGGCTTGAAACAAATATTAAAAGTAGAAAATGAACACCGGGAACAAACTTGTGTGGGGTGACAACCCGGTATCGATTTCAATGAGTAGGATATATATATATATATATATATATATATATATATATATATATATATATATATATATATATCTTCACAGTCTGTTAACAGACATTGTGCCATCAGAACCATGGCAGAAGAAAAAAGTGGAGAAGATTTGAACATGGACGATTAAAAAATGTGGGAAACAATTTTTTGGCTTTACACACGCCATTTTGTATTTTTGTTTTGCTTTGTGAGCTTTTGTGTGCATCAAAGGGATGGTAAAATGGCAGAACAATATTGGCGCCACTGATGTCTGTTGCGGGCCATGACGTCTACTGTTTCCAACCACTGAGATTCAGCATCTCGTGGTCCCCAACCTGGAAGACGGACTGGTCCAACTGCTGCCAAACTTGAGATTTCAATGAGTAGATTCCGCCTGTAACCTTTTAGGCAAGGATGCGTTCGCAAATCAACTCGCGAGTGTAACTGCAGTTAAGTGAGCAGCAGATTAAACATCATTACACAGGTTAAGAAGAAATGGAACAGTTCAAATAGGTTTCTTCGAAATATTAATGTCAGCATTTGAGGATATATTAACGACAAATCCGCGAAATCTACCACAATGGTTTTCATGTCTCCATAACATTTCACAACGTGCGCACTTGTTTTGATCGGTCAACATGCAGTGCTTATTCGAACAATAGAGTCTCTAACGATCGACATCTGTTGATTATTGGAAACCCGCCTGCAAGGCTCTAGCTTTGTGTTCACTATACGATCCATCACGGGCGACACTGGCGACAATTTCTTATTGCGCTTGTTTGCAGATGACGCAGCTTCAAATGCTGGTAAAGCCAGTGTGGGAAATGTTCTGAGTCCTCGGGTTGGGTCTATCCTGATTGACTGGATCCCAATGAACAGCCAAATGCGCGCCGTCAGATTGGCTGGCCTGTTCGAACCTCCGAAGACGCGCGGGGAAAAACGCTGTCTGTTCGTCATTGTGACCTACTCCCTCACAATTTGATGTGCTGACTCGTAGAATGATGACTAACTGATCGAACACCTTCGTCCCTGAGAAACTACGTACATTGTATTGCTGGTTGGAGAGCTGAATGCTCAATTTGGAAAAATGTCCACCGATGGGCTGCATCTGGGCGGCCAACACGGGGTATGTTCTCGTAATGAGAATGGTGAACGGCAGTTACATTTGTGTGAAGATGTTCATCTAATTTTCGCGAGTACTAACCTCCGATATAGCAACTGCAGAAGCGTGATATGGCGCCCAGCAGTCTTGGGCCAGCTATGGACGCAAATCGATCACATCGCTATCAGTTACCGCGGAAGAGATCGTGTCTAAAACTGTCGCTTGGTTTGTGGTACCAATATAGCCTCCGACTATGCGCTCATTTGTGCTGATCGTTTCATGCGTTTCGGTGGACGTCAGCAACGAAGCCATGAGCGCACGGACATTAGCCAACTGGTGAAGCCAGATGTTCTGAATGCATATCAAACTGCGTTGGCATGCGGCTTTAGCAAGTGCTTTCTGAATGCAGTTGAAGGTCACTGGTTGCATGTCCGCCAGACGTTACTAGCAGCGGTTGCCTTCTTGTGGAAAAACTAATTGCCAAACGGTATTTTAGGTCTCTCCCTTCTCTAGAACCCCTCGACGCTCGCCGACATGTACCAACTGGGAGGGAACACAACCAGATTCGTAAAGACTTCAAGGTAAAACTGCGTGCCAGCCTGAGGCATACTGGTCTTATCAAGCATCGGAGATGGAAATGGTCGATGTCCTTGGTAAGCATAGTACTTTATTCCATGTGATACGGGTAACGGACAGCAGGAGAGTGGACAGCCAATCCACATATTGTCAAAACGCTGAGTGCGTTGGGCCGAACACAGAAAAGCCAGAGTCACCAGTTTTCTTATCGACTGTTGAAAATGAATAGGGATGCAGTAGCATATATACTTACTTCAGCACATTTCGAATTTTGGAAACTAGTTCTTTTGGACGATTAGCACACCCTTTACTGAAGCTGTGGGTGCAGGAGACTATACCAACCGACTGGAGCGGATTGGTTATAGTTCCAAGTTCCAAGAGAAACCCAAGTATGGTACACCACAATCATAGAGGGATCGGTCTGATCACAATGGCCCGTAAGTTACTTACCTCTGTCGTCCTCCATAGACTGACAGGCACTCGTGAAAGACAAATTCACAAGGAGCAAGTCGGGTTCCGTCGAAATCGAGGCTAAATTGACTACATCTTCACATTACGTCAATTGTTGGAGCACCGCCATACTTATTGGCGGCTCACCGTCGTCGTACTTTTCTACATTAAAGGTGCCTTCGATTCAGTGGAGCAGTGTGATAGTTGCGATTGACTGCTCAGGAAAGATATCTGATAAGTAAACGGTGTAAGTGGAAGTTCATCACATTCAGACACGGTCACCCAGCCATCACCCTATAACAAAAGTACTGTAAAGCCGTTTCATCCTTTCGGTAATCATCAGCAGTGCGCCTTCCATCAGGCCCGCGTAGGACCATAATCCGCAACCCGATTGTTACTAGATCGTTGTTAAGAGCCCTGAGCTACGGAGGACGGTAAAGATCGAAGTGACTAAGTTACTAGATGTGATTTAGCACCGTTCACAATCCATTGACTTGCGAGTTGTTGCCGTGAAGAGGACAGGGTAGCGCCCTCGCCCACTCTGCAAGTCAGTAGTTTGAGCAGTGGGGGATTATGGCAAACTGTCGCCGGCGGTGTGAGACAAGACTGCTCCCTGCCACCTTCATCTTTTAGCTTTACTACTGACAAGGCATGGAAACTAGTACACTGAACACAACATGGAATATGTGGAATGCTCCCAGCTTATCGACTTGTTGACTTAGCGGCTGCACAGGATATTTATCTAATCTGTTACAGCTCCCAAAAATGCCAAGTAACGCTGGACAAATCAACAGTGGCCATGACTGGTTTTGGGACATATATTGAACCTTCGAAATGCAAGGCCCTTCTTCAAGATTGGCAGGAACCCATCCCTGCGCTGACTCTTAGTGGTGATCACCTAGATGTCGTCTAAAGATTCAAGTGCCCAGGCAGAAATACTAGCGCATGTAGAATAGAAGATAAGATCACGAAGCGCTTTTACCAATCTCCGCCACCTGTGACGTAGCCGCGATATCACCCTCACTCTGACAGCTTACAATGCCCCTCTTGTATGGTTTCAGCGCCTGCACCACCAGAAAGACAGATACAAAGAGACTTGCTACAGTTTATAATCGCTACATTCGCAGCCTAGCTCATGTTTAATAGGAACACCGCGTGAACAATCGGCGTGTTCGGTGTCTCACATTAAGTGCAAGAGGCGCGAGTGAACCGCACAGCACCGTTATATCACGCATCAGGCTCCGACTGCTAAGCAACGTGTTGCGTATGGTAACACGAAATTCCAAGGAGTGCGCTGTTAGTGCGACCGAGCCCCGGATGGAAGGCCAAGCGATGACTTGATCAAGAGCAGTGAAGACCTTCACATAGAACTTGGCGTCGACTGGTACCTCCCAACTGCCAGTCTTGAATCCTATGCACAATGAACACATTTGGTTGGATACACTTATCGACATAGCGAAAAGCCGACCTCAATGGCGGTTGTGTTGCGAGATTTTGTCTCTCCCGCTTATCTTCCCCTTCATACCCGAAGCATAATATGCTACAAAGCGCTATATGGTCTTGATATTATTAGTCAACACGTTTTTATCTCTCGCCTTCTCCTTGTATATTATCTTTTATATTGCGGTACAATAGTTGAGGTATTTTTTATCTTTAGCCAACGTGCAATGATGATGATGCTTCACTACGTTATTCACCTGAAGGTGGTTGGATCGATACGGGAGAAGGTAAGTCAATGCATAGGGTGGGAACCCACCATCAGTGACACCCCATAGCGTTAATCGAAATGAACAGGAAATCACACAATGGTATCCCCAAAGGACTGAAACCGGAAAGTCCGCCGAAGTGGCCCATCCACAAAGCGGAACAACGAAATTTCCTTTTGGTCCTAATTGTTTTCAAGTCTATTTAAAGAAATTGTCATTGTCCTCTAAGGGTTCAAATTAACGCAGCACAGTGAATTAAAGACACGAAATCCACCGATAAAACGGGATGAATAAATCCACATGATGCATAGTACCATAATGAACATTAAATCAATCCGGTGACAAGGAAGATCGATCAGTTGTCCTTGGTAAAATGAAGCGTTAGATAAGACTTCAGTCCTAGATAAAGAGCGGTTCGTAAAAGGGGATATAATTAATACCACTGACAAAACAAAGCCTGGTTTAAGCCCAAACTAATTGCAGAAAACGGAAAAACAGCATCCTATGGTGCTAGTGTCCAATAGGAAACAACAACAATAGGAAACAACAACGAATGCATAGCGGCAAACGCAACAGATGATTACCAAGTTCCAGTATCGATCGAACGCAATTAGATTGCCGATAAGAGAAGCACGTGGCTCGCGGAGCCCTCGGGTCATCACAATCACAAGTTCAGTGTTTTTCATGGCGCGCCACAGCCTCGCCATTGGACCAACTGGATAACTTCTTGCATTTCGATGAATTTGCGCAGGATCGTGACCTACAGCATAACCTAGGAAAAATCGAGAAACTTGGTAAGCAATCAAGATGACCTCAGCTGTCATTAGTAAATGGCAAAGATGCTTCGGGAAAAATTAGTGGTAACTTTCAACTGGCAAAAACAAGTACGTGCTGCATGAAAGTTATCATCACTAATCCACATGTTAAGCAGAGGTAAGAGACACCTTGGCTACCGTGCCACAAGGAACGTTATCAAACAAGTAGTACCACGGCAAGCGCCTCAAAATCGTTCATAGTTAGAATAGAGCGGCTCATCATCAGTCGGTGAATGTCAGGCTGGTTCCTAATTCAGCAGAAGAGAAATTAATATTGCTATCGAACTGTTCCAAATTATCGAGGGCTGTGCATAACAAGACGCAAGCAGGTCCCGATGGGTCACTGCAATCACACTCCCGAGCTGGACCTGTTCCTCACTGCCTTATGGGTCAGGCTGCTTAGCCAGGGTTCCGGATTGAGTACTTCAAGCAAGCCTTCATTTACCCCAGTGCGTTGTGGATTAATGTTGAGTCTAGGGCTGGAGGTCAGGCACCTCGTACAATATGCATCTCTAGGAATGAACAATCAGAGAGCATCATTTGCCCTCTCGACTCCGTCGACAACACTCTGCCTTGTTGCTTTTCTCCCTCCTGGCAACTCTTTTTCCACGTCCATTGAGAAAGACGCTGTTGCTAACCTCGCAACTGCTGCCATCGGTACAAATATCTCGTCCATCAAACCATATGTGTTAGTTCATAGTGCTTCGGTTAACGTCCGCATTCTGGGCCAGATTGGCCAATAGGTAGAAGTGACTATAACTTTTCACTTCCTTGGTATTGATGTGTGCATACAAGATAACGAATCTTTCGCTCCCTGGTTCCGAAATTGGCGACTACGAGTACACTTTTCGTGACTCTGGCGACATTGAGTCAATGGCTCAAAGTGGTTGCGCTGTCGATATCACCCTCACAAAACATGCTGAAAGCAATCTACTCGATGGGATGCCGGTGAACAGCCGCATATGTGTTGTTCGACTTCTGACCTCTACTGGGGTTAATAACACCGTCTGAAGACAAGGTGCCTTTTTATCGTTTCCGTTTATGCTCCCACAGACTGCAGTTTGACGAGTATGGGAGGTTTCTATCCCCAACTCTACTCTATTCTCCGTGTGGTGAAAAATACTGACATGCGACTGTTGCTCGTGACTTGAATGCTCAAGTGGGTTGCCTTTCAGACTGAACAACTGGAAGGCCGCTTTGGAGGCGATGCACACCGAACAGACCGTGGCGATCGATATCTGTAACTGAGTCGACCACAAGCATTATACAGGGTATCCGTAAAGTCTGAACACATAGGATAACTGGATATTCACAACAAATTAAAATTCAAAGTCAGCAACAGGTTTTCGCATCCACAGATAGAACATGGCTTGGTCAAAGGAAGAACGAGTCGTTCACCAGACCTCAGTCCTCCTGACTTCTTTCTCTGAGACATGCTGAAGGAGAAATTGCAGTCAAGAAAAATTCAAGATACCATACACCTGACTCAAGGAATAAGGAGTGAAGGTAACAAGAGTGACAGTAATGTGGAGTTATTGCATCAAGCTGATGAAAATTCTGCGAAACACAACAAAATTTACATTGTGACCCATATTGAAGATGTTATTTGAATAACATGTTGCATTTTTACCCAAGTGTTCAGACTTTCCGGACACCCTGCATTAGCGGCATTGATTTCCAGCGCTAACATTCACATCGCGTCACCTGACGCCCACCGAATTCCTCGATGGCCTGGATCCAAATTGACCATAAGGCCATCAGCTATAGATGGCGCACATCAGTCCGAGACTGTCGGTCAATTTAGAGCACTGCCTGGATTCAGACCCTGTACGCACGCTTGGCGATCTATCTTATAGCTTCAAAGAAGCACCAAACTTCTAACCTTATTACTTGCAATTTAGCTCGCAGTCTGCAGTTCACCAATATCATGACAAACTGTAGCGCCAAGTGTCAGTGCTGAATGGGTTTGGCTGGATCATTTCAAATGTGCTATGAAGAAGGCTTTTGACGCCCGTTGTCAGCTAAACTTGAGACGTTCAAACTTTGAATGAACCTCTGAGGCATCAACCAGTCTGATCGACGCAAACATGTTACAATGAACAATATGTTTCAAGGAGTCTGTAACGTTCTTAAACGACGTCTAAGAATGAAGCTACGAATTGACCAGGAACGCTGGTAGGTGGCAAGCGTCTGTAAGATGGGGGAAAATCAATGTCGTTGGAAACAGCTCATCCACAAAACGGGTCCAAGATAGCTCTCAGTTATATATATACTATATAATAAACACAATCTGTGGTACAGATATTGTACCATCGGGATCATGGCTGAATAGGAAAAGTATGAGTAATAAGAAAAGAGCAACAACAACAAAAGCTTTTTTTTGTCTAGTTTACCACTCACGGTTTTTGAAGTTTTTTTTATTTTGTTCTTTTTTAGAGGGAGGAAGAAGGAACACCGCAACACACCGATGCACACGTCCACCATTGACATCGATCTTGAGCCATGGCTTCCAAGGTCTTCAACCAGCAAGTATCCGCATCTCTCGGACCCCAACCAGGTAGTCGACAACAACCGGCCGAGGCCAACTGTTTCGTCAGCCTTTCATGCGGCTTCTCCATGTTGTAGGCTGTCCACCAGACCGTCTCTTCCAGCCCTGTCCAGCAACCGCAAACAACGTATGACGCGGGTAACGCTGGACAGCCATGCGCAATACGTGTCCCAACCACCGCAGTTGATGCAGTGAGACGAGCTCCTCGAGCGAGTGGCTTCCACGTCCCAATACACGCTGTCTAACTTCCACATTGCTTACGTAGTGCTGCCACCACACACGGGCAATGGACCGCAGACAGCGGTGCTTGAAGACGGATAGCTTGCGCAAGCCATCTTTACGAATGGACCAGGTCTCGCATCCGTACAAGAGTACAGCACGAACAGTTGCACAATAGACCCACCCTTTGATGGAGAAACGAATGTCGTGACGACGCCAAAAGTGCCTCAGCCTAGAAAAAGCGAGGCGTGTTCTCGAGATGCGCATCGAAATCTCGTCTCCAACAGCCCGGCCAGCAGTTAGTGAGAGAGATGGAAATCGGATGCATTCTAAGCCCTGACGAGTAGTCCGTTAGGTGGAACATTTTGAAGAACAGTTCAGCAAACCCGCTGCGACTGCCGTCTACTGAACCATATAAACTGACGTGACGAGTTGATCACACATCCCACTTAAGAAAAAACCCAACATGAGGTTGCCATGTGGAAACGAAACAAAGTTTCTGGACTCGATGACGTACCTCTGCTTTTGTTGGAAGATAGGAGTAACTCTGTGTTGATTGAACTTGCTTCTGTTTAACACGATATGAGACGCTGAAGGTGTGCCTACAGACTGGCGACTGCCAACTAGCGTGCGCACCTACGAAAATGTCAGCGGACTTTATGCCTTCAGACTTCTCACGGGTATCACCCTTCGGCGACTTACTGGTCCTCGTGAGTCGAATCAGTGAAAGCTAGGCTGGCTTCCATCCCGGTCGTGGTTCCATCCACTACATATTTACTCAATGTGTTGGAGCAGAGGAACACCTACAAACAACTGACGATGGTGGTTTACCTTGACTTGAAAGCCGTCTTCGACTCTGTTGACCAGGCCATTTTGTGGCACTACTTGTCCATGAAGGGCGTGCCAGCTAGTCTTTTCCATTCTGAAGTCTCTATCATGACTCCCGAGGCCGGGTAATGGCCTACGAAAAACTGTCATCTGTTTCCCGCTCGAAAACTGCAGTGCACTGCTTCAGCTACGGTCCTCGTGATCGAAAGGCTCACTTCAATGGGAATTGCGGTCAACATTGAGATTGAGTGTCGCAAGCCATCCACACAACGTGCACTTCAAATTGACCATCAAAATCTGTCACCAAAGTTCGTCAAAAAAATTGGGTTTGCAAGGGTTGTCCTATATCTTGTTTCCTTTTCAACCTTGCGATCGAAATGATGATGAATGACTCGGTTCTTCCAGAGTACCGGAGTGGAAGTTCTGCTAGGTGGCCAACCAACAAATTTTCATTATATGGACATAGGTCTCCGAGGATTTGACAAAGTAGCTATCCAAACACTGCTGGACAGACTAGTGTATAGCGCTGCGCGTTTCGGCATGCGCTTCGCACCTTCAAATTGTGAAGTACTGTTGCAGGACTGGTCTGATACGTCACCAGTTCTAGCTAGTACCGAACAGCCAATGAATGTGGTAGATCGGTTCACATACCTTAGTAGGTATGTCAGCTCTGGTGGTCACATTACTGAGGTTACTTGGCGTATCAGCAATGCCCGTGGCCTTCCAGAGGCTCAATCATCTATGGAGACCGCAGGATACCTCCTCTCACTGATAGAGTGAAAGTTAGGGTATGTAACGTTGAGATAAGGCCTGTCAGAGAATGAATCAGAGACCTCGCGGGTTCACAGTGAAGACATTATACACTTGGTGGTGTGTGACCAACCGTGATTGCAGAGCAATGCTGAGGTCCGCCAGTTGGTTTTGGCAAGAAGCCCTCTGGGGTCTCACTACATTGTTTGCGAAATCTTAAATGTTCATGTTGGTTAGGTCATGTCCTCCGTATGCCCGTTGACCGGCTTCCTCGGTGTGCGTCATACGCCTTGGTTGCATTAAGTTAAGCGAAACCGCGAGGTGGTCAGTTAATGACGAGGTATAAAAGGCATCAGCAGTACGCCGGTACGCAGAACCAACACTTCGCTGCTATGCAGCCACCACCAGTTGGCTAAGGAGACTGCAATGGTCGCCCGGCTCCTACGCAGGCTCGAACCCGTGTCCTCGGTTTACAAGGCAGGCCTGTGAGCCTTAAAGCTACGGGCCGGCAGTCTGGTGCATGTCGTCTTCGAGAATGTGGGCCCCTGGATGGGCCATACCAGCGGCTGGAGAATTTTTCAAACATGGCGCAACCATGCAGTTTGTGGCGTTCTTGCATTTGGTTTTCTGCATCTGGAGGCTAATTTTCATTCCATCCTGCTTAGTTTAACGTTTTTGCTTCCTGTTTCCATTTGCATTGAACCTCCTTTTCTTGACATTGTTATTTTTTGTCATTCTGGCGATGTGAGTCGTGGCAACTGGATCCAACACACTTCGGTGCCCAGGTCATAGCTGTTTAATTGATCTAAACTGAATTAGGCAAGTTATTAATTGGATCAGACCCCTCATTTTAGTCAGACCAAGTAAGTGCGTACGAAACACCGAATGATTTGATGGAGAACTCACTTCGATTTTACAGATGCCCCGTACTTTCAGAAGATAAGCGCTAGAAAGATTCGGTGAAAATAGATAGAATCGGTTGATCGGTTCATGTAGCTACGCCTCTGGCAATTAGACTACCGAAGAAAACTTCGTGCACGTTTCACTAGTTCTTAAACCTCATGCATAGGGTGAAACATTAATTCGCAGATGGACAGTAGTCAATACCGCTGCCGGACATGGCAGGTAGGTGATATGTAAACGTTCGAGAATGGTACGACTATTGAAGTACGAAGTTTCAAATGAGGTTATCCGACCAGACTCAGACCGAGTTCAACCTTTGAACAGCCAGCCCGCAACCACTGACTTATAGTATCAACAGTGTGTTGTGGTACTTTTTCCATACCATTCCAAATGGATCCCACATTTCTCTGACAAAATGCGCTCGCTATTCGACAATCGCTCCTTCCCTTTTCCAAAACTGGTTTAGGGGGTTCGAAAATATCACGGAAGAAATAGAAAACTGTGATCGTCTCTGCTGATGATTCCATACCCTTAGTAACTGGAACGGATGAGTCTGATATAGTTGTATCCGCCACACCAACACAGAACGGACGACTAGTCGCTTTCTTCTCACGAACTCTGTCCGTCAGTGAACGATGCCATTCCGCTGTCGAGGAGTTACATCCCATCGTTGACTCGGACCACAAACGGAGGCATTACCTCATAGACAATCGCTTCACCATTATTACTGATGGGCGATGTCCTAAACATGTTTAACTTCAATCAGAAGGGCAAGATCAGAAATGATAAAAGTTATCGCCAGCGCGTTGAACACTCATGTTACAATGATGAATTAGTTGACCGCAACGGGTATGATAACGTGGCTGTAGGCGCTTTATCACAAACGTGTGGCCCATGACAATCGCAGGACATGACACTAGGAATTACATGATGCACTTTGCCATTTCGGAGTCACTAGAATATTTCGCCTAGTTCGTTCGCAGAATCTGCCTATTGGAGTTGAAGAGGTGAAAGCGATGACCGCCAGCTGAGGCATTTGCGCAGAGCCGAAACCCTGATTTTACAAATCGTCCGGAACAACCATCAAGGCGAGGTACTACTTCGAAAGATTAAACATGGATTTTAATAGACCTTAGCAGTAGGTTACGAACAAAAATGGGCGTTCACCATGGACGGCGAATACCTTCGCTACCCGTTTGCCTACGCATGACTGCACGTGACTGCATCAACAGTGACTAGCTGTCAAAGTCAACTGTTGGCAGGCTTCTGCATGCTACTTTATATTTCTTCCAATTGTGGTTTGTCATTCATGTTTCAGGACTGCGGTCAACCGTAAAATACCGTATAACGCTTAGGGTAATGGGCAGGTGAAACGCAACAATGGAGTTATCTGGAAATACAATGCCCTTCCACTTGGATCCACAGGCCTGGAGATTATTCGGTGGCAATAGCACTGCTGGGCGCCTTGAATTCCATTCGTTTCCTTCTCTGCACTGCCACAAACGCCACTTCACATGAAACTCTTCTCCTAGAACAGTAGATCAGCATTAGGAAGCTCGCTACCGTGTTGGCTGTGTGCCAGGACCTGCGTTGCTACGTCGTAATGTGAGAGCCTCAAAATCCGAGGTTTTAGTGGGTGAGGTTGAACTATTAGATTGCAATCCTCAGTATGCTCACATCCGATTCTAAGATGGAAAAGAAGATACAGTGTCACTGCGCAACCTGGCATCACCAGGACTGGGTTCTGTCTAGTGACTCTGTTATTCTCACACCCATAAACTTCCCAAACGACCACATTACACACACAACAATGGACACACAGGTGCTCCAAAGTGACGCCCTTTGTCCACCTAATCCTTCACACCGTATTAAGCAACAGCAGAGAACATGAGCATACAACCTGCGTAACCGTGAGGCTTAAAACTTCCACTTATCCCACAGTTCACTATTAGGTCCGGGAAAATGTAAACTCAGTTATTACTCGTTTACCAGAACCTTTTAGCATTGCATTCCAGCCTACAAGCCTCACTTACTTGTTGAAGAAAGCCTAATCTCTCCAGCTCATACTCTTCTCATTCGTAGTATTCCTCCTCATTCAATTCATTACAGTAGGTGACTACTTTGTACAGAAGACACAAAAACGCTACCTTGTTGCAACCATTTTATTCCCATGTAGCAATGATCGTTTAAGTTCACTAAACAAAATATTGTTCAGATGGATCTCAGTATACTTAGATCAATTAATGGACACGCACAAACCCGCTGGCGATACATCGGATCACTTATTACCCGGGCAAGATCAAAGCTGTTCCGGTTACAACATTGACATGCATGTGGGATGTTTATTTTGACATCTCATGATTGCTGAGAACGCGTTTGGCATTGACAGTCAACGGAGTCCATGTTAATAGATGAAAAGGGTCAAAATACGCAGCTATAAAAGCTTTAACGACGAATGCTTCCATCATGCAATCAATCTCGCTCCACCAGCTTTGTTAGGGTGTTAGGGTGACGTGAGCCTCGGTGCCCGGAACAGAGGTTGCATCCGCAAAAAAGGTGGATGTAACAGTAGTTCTACGCGTTTCCCAAAATCAAAAAGAACGATGTGCATCGTTGAAAATTACGGTAATAGTCCAAAGGAATTCATACGTAGGACGAAGACAATGTTAGGGAGATACTAAGGAAGATGCCTGAATTTGGAGAAGCATGACAAACTGGTGAAATTTTGCTTCAAGCCAACAATGCTTAACAGGTCAACCAGTTGAGGTAAGTTCAGCTTAACTGCACCAGAAGGCGGCGGATCCAAATATCATGATCCAATACAGCTGACTGCGCGGTCACATGCGTACACAACCGGTGAGTGTGACAGTCGTGAATAAGGACTGTGAACAGGATGTCTGCAAGGCTATTTACTATACGAAACAAAGCAGCGCGCGAATAGCTGGAGCACTCGATACTTAATGAGCAATAAAACCTGAGCCACCGCTTAGTTGCCAAAATGCATCACAAGACGCATTTCTCAGATTCAAGGATAGGACAAGAAACCGATGTGGGCCATCAATGCAATACAGCAGCGTGAAAAGTTCGACGATATGTAAGAGAGACCATCTCAGTATGGGCAAATTCAGAATCTAAACAAGTAAACACCCACATACAGGAAAAGCAAACACTAGAAAGCCATATCTTTCGAGGAAAATCTAGAAAGAAGCGTCTGAATGAGCGAGCTAATTGTCCGCCGGCTTGACTAGAGGGTAAGCGGAAAATAACAAGCACAAACATACTCACTGTTCCAATAATCCAAAATGGTTCGTTTTTGATTGCCTCTTCGCTTAAGTGAATTCTCAGGGGTTGTGTTCATCGCTAAAGTAGCGCTGAAGTCAAATGTAAACCCACGGTCAAAAAAAGATGCGAATGGAGGATAGATGGCGAATATATTTGCGGCAAAATGCAAGGCAAAATTGGAAACATCGTATGCTAGAGAAAAGGACAGCTCAAGGTGCTCACAATTTACATTCTATACATGCGTGGCAGCTGAGTTTGCAATATCAGTAATCCGAGCGCTGGAACTCGCTCCTAGATAGCGTTGTCAGTGGATTTACGGTTAAGGGACTTAAGCGTCAACTGGACGTTCTTGGGTGGCAACATGAAACCTTCTCCTGACCAGTTATCATCACGCTTCAATTTTCCTTTTTGCAATTTCCCCCACGCCTTGGTATTACTATTTTTTAATGGCCTACTTACTTTTATCTGCGATTTCTCTCATATTTCGCTTACTTCTCGTAACTGACAACAGGGACTGTTATTAAGGTAAACATGAGTAGAAATTGATTGAGTGGGGTGTTCCGTTTTAGATTCACCAAAACCTCGGATCACCTTATAAAATCCTGGTTTGGTGGTCCGCTCAAGAAGGAATACTCGTGCGATTCTGCTATCGTTCAACCTAAAATTGGACTTGAAATGCGCCATTCAGCCAAATGACAGAACATTCTAGTTCAAGGTCGCAGATAGGCATAAGAGGAAAAAGCGAGATGTGTAGACGAGCGTGTATCGCGAAAACCCAACCAGTGCACGTAGTCCAACTGCGAAATAACAGGAGCCCACCCAAAAAGAGTGGAGAAGTGATAGTAAATATATAGTCGGGGATCGGAGGACGTATTGGTAACATTCAAGTTCCAACTCAGGTAGGACTGGAAGGTCAGTGTTCCTTTTTTAGCGGATCGTTGAGCCAGGAAGTAGTAAGATGCTCTGAAGTTTTGATGGATCTAAAACGAAGCACCCGAGTCACACCATCGTCAACCAATTATTGTCCAGGGTTCCAGTATTAGCAGTTCCTAATGCGTCGGTCAAATAAATATACGGGCAGAAAATGAAGGGTATGTATGTATGTATGTATGTATTCTCAACAGTCTATTAGCTAGACAAAGAGCCAGCCTAAAACCATGGAGATAAGGAGATAAGCAAGATTCATGGCGTCATAATCATCGTGGCATGCTAGTTGAAGGTGAGCAACACACTTCAACTAATATGCCGCAGGAAGAATGGAACATTTTGATAAAAAGTAGAACAAACATTTTTAGTTTGTTTTTCACACGCCGCTTTTGTTCTTTTCTGTCATTTTAATGTTTGTAGAATTAAACATGTGAATCAATACAATAATGTACACAATTCTTCCACTGATTCCGGTTGCGGGCCATATCTTCAAGAGTGCTAAGCCATTGGCACTCCTCATCTTTGGGTCCCCATCCTGGAAGACGTACGGATCCTACAGCGGCTAGACACGACGTCAGCGATTTCATGTGCTGCCGCCAAGTGAAAGGCTGACCACCACGCGGTCGCCTCCAGCCAGGTCCTTGACGAGCGAATAGAGCGCGACGCGGTAGACGCTCAGGTGTCATGCGTAGAACGTGACCGAGCCATCTCAACTGGCGCAACAAAACCAGTTTGTTGAAGGGAATACTCGCATTCCCCAAGACGTGACGTCGAACGTCATTACTATTTACTCGATGTTGCCACCAAACACGCGCGATCCTCCTTAAGCAACCGCTATCGAACGCAGAAAGACGACGCATGTCTTCCACGCGAAGCGGCCAGGACTCGCACCCATACAACAATATTGAGCGAACTGATGCACTGTAAACTCGGCCCTTTAGTGAGAATGAGACGTCGCGACGACGCCACAAGTGCCTCAAATTGACAAATGCCGATCGAGCTTTAGCGATACGAAGAGAAACTTCTTTGTTGATAGTGCCATCGGCAGAAATACAGCTCCCAAGGTAGACGAAACTATCTACCTGTTCAAGTTGTGCACCATCGAGAGTGAGTACGGGAGCAGGCGAATGCCAATCTTTGAGCAGTATTTTACACTTCGATGGGGCGAAGCTCATACCATACTTAGATGCTTCAACCGCCAAACGATCCAGAATGAGTTGCATACTCTGAGGATCGTCACCAAGTAAGGCGATATCATCAGCATAATCTAAGTCGGTCGCGCGCTCACCCGGAAGAAGCTCTAGGCCAAAATGTTGGAAACCTTCTAGAGCATTCGACAGAACGTCTTCAATTGCGAAGTTGAAGAGGAATGGGGACATAGGGCAGCCCTGTCGCACACCGCTATTGACAGTGAATTGCAAGGAAAGCTTGCCACAGACCCTCACTCTGCCGAATGTATGAAGGTAAAGTGCTCGTAAGATGGCGGTATATTTCTCTGGCCCCCCGTTCTTTAGTAAGCAACGCCATAAAGCAGGACGATCAACGGAGTCAAAAGCGGCACGTATGTCTAGAAATGCAATGATAGTGGGCCCGTGATAAATGTGGCGATGTTCGAGGAGCTGGCGGAGCGTGAAGATTTGATCCACACATCCGCGGCCAGGACGGAAACCAGCTTGTTTTTCACGGTAGTATGATTCACGTACTGGGGATAGCCTGCGAAGCAGAATGGATGCCAATAGTTTAGAGGCAACCGAAATAAGACTAATCCCGCGATGATTTGCACATGAAGTGCGAGCGCCTTTCTTGAAAATCGGGATAATGACTGATTCTCCCCAAGAGGAAGGCACTTTCTCTTCATGCCAAATTTTTGCGAACAGCGCGGTCAGCTGGTTAATGATCGCCACACCGCCGTACTTGAATAGCTCCGGAGGAAGTCCGTCTAATCCGGCAGCCTTGAAGCGCTTCAAGCGTCGAATCTCAAGGCCGACTTCCGCTTCGCTGGGTGGATTCAGAGGGACGAGCCAGGGTGGACAACAACGTGTACTGCATGTACTGATGGATGGTGGAGGCCAGTTGAACTGCGAGTGAAAGTGCTCGGCCCAACGGTCCATACGCCTCTGTTGGTTGGTGATCGGAGACTCATCCACCTCACAAATGACCTCACTGACACCAGGTTTCCTGAGGCCAGTGGACCGAATGAGTTGGAAAAGCCTGCGAGTGTTGCCAGAGAGGGCAGCGGTCTCCATCTCTAAAGCACGTTCAGACCACCATGTCTCGCGATCCTTGCGTAGGCTTTGCTTGAGCAGCCGGTTGGCAGAACGGCGCCGCTCGTTGCAATCTGATTCCGCGAGTATATCTTTGCGGCGTTCGAACAGCTCCAGAGAACGAGCAGAGATCCAAGCCTTCAATGGGCGTCGAGTTAGGCCGCAGCATGACTGTCCGGAAATAGTCATTGCCTTCCGTATACAAGTCCAGTGTTGTTCCACTTCTTGCGGTGGATTGCAACTGAGTGCATATGCCAATGAAGACTGATAGCTCGTCTGGACAGAGGAATCAGTTAATCTGTTTACATCAATCTTGCGGTGCTTCGTGTTTCGGGATCCTCCAAAACACATACAAATTTTCGCGCAGACCAGAGCATGATCTGAGTCAACGAATGTGGACCAAAAGGACCTGCAGTCTAGTACGCTGCCGCGCCATCTGAAGCTAATTGCAATGTGATCAATTTGAGACCACGTTTGTGTTGAAGAAGGGGGACGCCACGTTGCGGAACGCTTCTTCGTACGCCTGAAGTTAGTGCTCGAAAGAAACAGACGGTTGTCTTCGCACAATGTGAGAAGTCTCTCTCCGTTATCAGAGCGGTTCTCATCGAGCGCGTGATGACCACCAAGGTGGCGTTCGTATGGTAACAGGCGGCCAACCCGTGCATTAAAATCCCCAGCAAGGATAACGATATCCGACTTTTTAGCATTAGTCAAGAGTTGTAGATCCCGGTAGAATTCGTCCTTGACCGAGTCGCCACTGCAGTCAGTTGGAGCGTACACAGAGATCACAAACAAGTTGCGTCTCTCTTCGCGGTGCCTGTTGATTCTACACGAACCCCGAAGCCGAACTGCACATAATCGGCTGTTAATAGGGAACCAGTCCAGTAGTGCCGCCTCGGCCTTGTCACTTAGTGTTATACCTACACCAGCCAGACCCGCTGAGGCTGCTTCTGGATCTCCAGAAAGACGCAGGTGATATCTGGCTTCGTGGTCAGTGGGGGATGTCAGTGTAAGCACAGTGCTGGGATCTTGCAATCGGGTTTCTGAAAGGCAGCAGACATCAATGTCTAGGGACTCTAGAGTGCGCGCTAGACCGGCTTGCTGTCCAATCTGCATGAGTGTCCGAACGTTGAGGCACGCCAGACGGAACGAGGATCGGGGACGAAGGAGAGCCATGGGTTGAACCTCTTGGTCTGCGGCGCAACCGGAATCGCAGCCAGATTGCTGAGCACATGAATCGGGTAAAGGAAAATGAGGATTGTGAACAAACAAACAATTGGCGTGTGATGAAGTCGCGTGAAAGTGACTAGCAAGTTGTAATACAGTCCATGGTTTTGCGAGAGGGCGTGATACTACCAGGTTGCCCAAGCCGAAGTAGGGAGTTGACTTAGGGGACTCCACCCCGAGCCTTTGGCTAAATAACCTACCCGCAAGGGTAAAGAAGAATGAAGGTCGTTTGGATGAAGGATAAAACCAATGGACGAAGCAAAATAAAGAAAATCAAAGAAAAGTATGAAGATGGATATGATTAGGAGAGACAGGTTTCGTGTTGCCATGCAAGTGTCTAACTAGTGCCTAAAACCCTTAACCGTTCGTTCATTCCCTATATTTTCTGGATGAGAGTTGCAACGTGTCCGTTTTAATCGGGTCAGATCGCGGCTTCACTGGATGACCGCGGAGACCAGACAAGCTGACCGGGCTAAATAACTAAGACAAGTCCGGTTCAAGCTTTCCACTTAAGATACGGAGAGTGAGGAGCATGTCTCCTTGAAGCAATCGGTGGTGCACTAAATACATATCCAAACTAAGTAGGCGCTCTGGGTAATTTGTCTCAACTTTGTATCCACCCACAAAATCCTCTCGAGCTACTTTAGTCCTGGAAGAGGTAGGGAAGGCAA